AGGGTGCAGGAGGGACCACCTGAGGTCTGCCTCCTGGCCAGCCTGTTTCCTCCTGCCTGCCTTTCCTGGGTCTCACCTGCAGTCCAGTCTCCAGTGGCCCAAGTGTGTAAACGTTTCCCACACTTTCAGCTCCATTTCTTCACATTCCTTTTGTCCTCTTTCCTTCCTCTCCCATGGTTCTTTGGCCCACAGTACCTCCTGTCACCCTGCTGTTCTCTGCATTCCCCATGCCTTTGTTCCCCACCTCCAGGCCGGGATGAGGTTCCCAGGGTGGGCTTGGGGAGAAGGTGAACCCAGGATGGTTGCCTAGCAATGAGGAAAGTAGGACAAACACCAACCAACAGCCAGGGGGAAAGAGGGACCCACAGAGGAGGGGGTGGGGTCCCACGGGCTCTGGCTCTGTTCCTGGGCCCAGAGCTTTCCTTTGTCACCCAGCCCTGACACACAGCCTCCTTCTCAGCAGCCCCACAGGCATATCCCCTTCCCAAAGGACCAGTCCCCAGGAGGCCAGGTGGAAGGCTAGGGCTGAGCAGGGGACTCCTCACCAGGCACAGCTCTCCACTGCTTGTGAGCCAGGAAATGAGACACAGGACCCATCACATGCAGAGGAGCCAGCCCTGCTCTCTGAGGGAAGTACAAGGAATGGGCCTTAAGTGACCATCAAGTCTGGGATTTGGGGAGCTGCAGGGAGGACTTCTAAAGGCTTCATACCCAGGACCCAGACTGGATTCTTCCCTGATAGGAAATAGGTACCTGGTATGCAGGGACGGCTCTTCCGGTGCAGAAGGAGAGAGACTAAGAGCTGGGACCTGAAGGAAAAGCCTTGTGTTCAGATGGCCTTTGGGCCTGGTGGGGTGGATGCTCTATGCAGTGCAAGGGTCAGGCGCTGAGTCTAATGCTTTGCTCTTCTCAGGGAAACCATAGCACCTATGGCCAAAACACTCACAGCAGAGGGACCCTGGGTGGGATGTGCTGCCCTGCCATTCCCCCACAGGCCTATGAACTCCAATGAGTATGGCAGTGCCTGGAGGGTGACACCCGGCAGGGTTCTGTTACCTGGTTGACCACACTTGCTGGGCTGTAGCAGATTCAGGATATAATGATTATGAAAGACAATCAGAGAGCCAAGGCCCGAGGGAGTTAGGTCTCTGTCAGCCAGGACTCTAACCTCAGGGCCTGCTCTCCTCTCTTATTCATAACCCCAAAGACCAACACCTTGGTGACCAGAAGCTGAGTAGTGGCCATGGCCTTCCCTTTCCTAAAGCAGCAGTCTGAGGTCAGTCTAGCTTCGATAAGCCCACCCCTCCCATACAGACTCAGACCAGGCTGCAATTAACCTGGATTCAGGAAGGCCTGAAGACCCAAGAGAAGACTTGATGTCCAGCACATAGTGCACCTCTCCCTTTAGCGGCGACAGGCCCCATTCTACTCAGAAATACCAGGATGTTGTGTTCTTCAAAGGCTCCCCAGGAGCATCAAGCGGGGCCTTCCGACAGCCTCCCTGGTCCTCTGAATGAAAGTAGACACCCACCCAAAGCCTCACAGAACTGGTAATTAATAGTGCCTTCTGGAACTGGTAGATATATTTGTATCCATGTCCTTTGTGCTATGCCCCTACTCCAGCTGTCCCCTTAGAGTAGGAGGCAGAGGTGGGGGGAGCTGGTGTCAGTGCACTCCCTGTTGGAGACACGCTCTTGTGAAGAGACTCCAAGCCCACCAACCACAGACCTGCTTTCCCAGGCTGGGCTCAGTGTGTAGGGAAGGCCCAGATGCCCCCCCCCCATCCCGCCCATGTAGAATCAGGTAAGCCTGCCGCAGAGCTTTGTTTCTATACTAATCATTCATTCTCTCTCTCTCTCTCTCTCTCTCTCTCTCTCTCTAATGCCCATGGGAGATGGAGTCTGAATGATGTTTAGTATGGAAGAGAGTATTTGGATTCCAGGGGAAGCAAGTTGAACAAAAGCTTCAACTGAGGTTTAGGTGCCTGTGAAGCCCCCCTTCCCATCATCCCCCTTGAGATGGGCCATTGAGGTCCCCTACACTGAGACTGCAGACTCCTAAGTGTCTCTCTCAGTGCCTGGGAACCTGTGGTGCTGGTCTGTGTAACTTAAGGGCCTTGCTTTCAGATGTCCGAGAAGGTCTCTATTTGCTGGAGACCAGAAAGAAACCCAGTCTAGGGGCCATAGGGCCAACACACATTCCCCAGAGCACTTGCCCAGGGGCCTGCCACACTCCTTTTCTTCTCTGGAAGAGACAACTGGCTGGCCTTTTCCTACCTGAGTGGCGATGGCTTCCTGCACAGATGTGGTACTGTGCCCTCTTACAGAAGTGCAGTGCGTGGGTCTCCAGTGTGGCCTTCACACCACAAGCACTTGGGAGCTTGCTAGCAGCGCAAATTCTCTAGCTCCAGCCCAGAGCTGCCTGACTCAAACTCTGGAGTGTGACCAAGCTATCTGTATTTTAACAAGCCCCCAAGGGGCTCTGATACACACTCAAGTTTGACAACACGTGGGATGGAAATTACCTAAGACCCCCAGGTAGGAAACCTCATCTAGTTTCTGATCCACACACAGGGAACTTGTCCAAGGTTGCACGTTTTGAGCTAGTCTTCCCAAGGTGGCCAGGCCACCTGCCTCCACACTCCAGCTGTAACCAAGCATCTGACCCCTGAGCCCAGACTTCAAATCCACCAGGGGCTCTTCCTGAGCTCTTCTCTTCTAGGAGGTACAGCAGGCATTCAGATGGCTCTGGGCATTGCCATGGCAACTGGGCCTTCCTGAATCTGTGGGGCACCAGAAGCAGGGAGGAAGCAGTGCAGCAGTTTGCCAGTGGATGAAGCACAACCAGATGAGGTGGCTGTGAAAACAGACGGAAGCTCAGGATGGCTGGTGCTGCTGCTTCCTCAAGAGCCAGCTGCACCTGGCTCCTCTCCAGGGGTCTTCAGACCCATCAACCAGCAACTATCCAGGTTATAGTGCTGAGGGCAGCCTTGCTCCCCAGGGGTCAGGGCATGCTGACAGCATGTTTCCTGAAAGAGTCTCTACCTAGGCTGAAGTGGGCCCCTAAATAGCCACAGTATTTAAGAAGAAAGTGTACCTACAGAATGACTACCTGGTTCAGGTCAGGACTCAGGAAAAGGACCCAGTTTCAAACATGTGATTGGATCTTGTTCTGAAAGCAGATCTTGAGTCATGAGACACCTTGGACTATTAGGTGATAGCACCATGCCTGAGTGCTGGCATCAGTCACCCTGCGGCCCTCTCCACTCCCCCATCAATGCCCTCTCTGCTGGGGAACACTCTCCTTCCCAGAGACAGGCAGAGCCCATGGGAACATGCTCAATGGTCACTGGGGCTGCGGCCATGCAGAGTGGCTGCCCAGGGCCCAGGGAATGCTGCCTGTATGCCACACAAAGCTCAGCTGCTCCAAGCACTTGGCTGCTTTGGGGAGCAAAAAGCTGTTGGCGCTTTCTGTTCTGGAAGAAGCAAGCAGCTCATGTGAGAATCAGGAAGTAGGATTCTGCCCCGTTCTCCGCAAAGGTTACAAAGCGTGAGGTCAGGTTTGTGAGTGTGTGGAAGCGACATCCAAGACTCATGACCTCATACCTAACTTCACCTAATTTCCCCGAGGTGGGCGCTGAGAGCCCCCAGAACTTTTCATGTTGTTTACTCCCCTAACTCCTTCGCCCCCAGGCAAGCTGTGATCCCTTTTCAGGTGTGCGTGGGAGGCCTTCTCAGGGCTTCTTTACTTTGCCCAAGCCCCTGCTGGCTCTCCAGGTAACAGTTCTTCCTGCTCACCGCATGTGGGCCAGCCTGGGCTTCACCAGCTGCCCGGGAGCTGTCCTTTCCAAGGCAGAGCAGAGGTCGGCTGCTGTGGCCATCTTTCCTCGCCCTCACAGAGCTGCAGCAGCAGCACCCCCCCCGCCCCCGGCATACTTGCTTCTCACACCCAGGCCCTATTCACCTTCCTTAGACAAGAGGGTAACCGAAAAGGGGCAGCTTGAGAAGGCAGGCCGCTTAACAGCCACCTTCTGCGCTATCTGGTCTGCTCCTTTCCCAGGGCTCGAGGGACTCCATCCACACGAGGCCCAGTGTCCGGCTGTGGCTCTGCACACCTCAAACGGGCAGGGTCTGCAGCGGCGCGTGGAGGGCATGGGAGAGCCAGCCGTGGGGCTACTCACTTCATTCCTGTCACTGCCCTTTATAAATATTTATAGCACCTCTTCTAAAAATAACATCCTGGAGCCCAGGGAGCAGAAAAAAATAAATTAAAATCATGGGGAATTGGACCTGATCACGTGTGCCCGAGCCACAGGGGAAACCCAAGGGGCGAGGCCGCCGGAGAGCAGCGCCCGGCCGCGCCTCCTGGCGGCCGCCCTGCTCCACCCCACCCCGTCCCTGGCTGCGGCTGCGGGGGCAGCATCGCACCAGGCGGGCGGAAGCCTCACCAGTTCGAGGGAAAGGAAGGAGGCTATTTTTAGCGTGATGGCGAGAGTGTAAACGACTAGAAAAGTGAGTAAGTGAGCGAGGCTCGCAGCTCTCTTTGCATAAATGCAAGACCTGTTGGTTTTTAAAGGTCAAAGGTAAGGAGGAAACACGTGGTCCCGACCTAGGCTGTGTGCCACGCACTGGCCAGACACCAGGAGACCCAGCAGGTCACAGACACACTGGCCTTAGTGCTTTTTCTTTTCTCTTTTCAACCGCCTGGTAAATTCCTGATTCGGAGATGAAACCATGCCCCAAGGAGAGTAATGAAGATGCTAGGACATGCAGGGCCAGCAGGGGAAGGCTGCTGCGGCTCCCTTCTTCCAGGCAGGCCCGCCTGCTCCCTGGAGGCTGCGGAGCGACGCTGGGCGGCCGGCAAGCCCAGTCCAGGTGTGGAGCGGAGGGGTAGGAATGTGCCTCGGGGAAGCGCCGCCTGTGTCATGCTGGTGCCAGCTTGCTCCACGTCCTCTGTGCCTGTGCGAGACAGCTCACCGTTAGTCACGGCAGCTCTGAGGGCTGCAGGCGCTGCCAACAGCTGCTGAGCCTCCGATCTGGACCTGCTGGGAGGGGCTGCTCGGGCTCAGCCTTCCAGCGTGGGGCGCAGAGGTGTTCCCTCTTCTGATGGGCCTAGGGTCTTCTGTGGTCACTGCTTATGTCACAGGGTCAGGAAATATTTCCATGGAAGAACACACTTGGTTTGCAATGCCGATTTTGTAATGTGGTGAGAATTGTGGCAGAGGAGCAGGGCAAAGAGGCCACAGAATTGCCCGTGAGAACTGAGAAAAGAGGAGGAAGCTCAGGCCCAGGCCAGCAAAGAACAGGCCTGGAGTGCCAGGAACCTAGACTTAGCGCCCTCTCCTTTTCACCTCACTCTGTGGTTGGTTTCTCACAAGTCCTGATGTGAGTCAAAGGGAACAGGAGTCAGAACAGATGGGCTGGCGAGCTCCCAGGAGATCGGCTGTGCCTCCCCCTACCCCCGCCGTGCCCCGGGAGAGAGGGGCTCAGGCAGGCCTTTGTGGCAGTCGCTGTGGGCCTGCATGTGCACTGCCGGGTAGGTAGATGGTGTGCTCCAGGCCCTCGTGTCTCAGAACACCTGCTACTTGGCCACAGGAGGCTCACGCTGGGAACCTGAGGCTCCTGGCCAGGTGTGTAGGCAGAGACTGCCCTGGAGGGCACAGCCACCAGAAGGAGAGGCCTGAGGCAGTCCTGACATGGTGCTACTTGGAAAGGACCATTGAGCTATGGCCCTGGCTTTTCTGCCCTGAAGATCCATAATTGAAGAAGATGCCTTTTAAAAATAAGTTGGGGGAGCCGGGTGTGGTGGTGCATGCCTGTAATCCACCCTGGAGGCTGAGGCAGGAGGATTGCCACAAGTTCGAGGCCAGCCTAGGCCTCACAGTGAGTTCAAGGCCAGCCTGAACTACATAGTGAGATCGTCTCAAACAGACAAAACAACAACAACAACAAAAAAATGGGGGAGGGAGGGCAGAAATAATCTAAAAATGAAAAGCAGTCTCATGGCTACTCTACTTGAAGGGGCTTTGGCCCAGGACAGGCTGGCTGTCCCTTACTTTTTTTGTGTTTTTTTGTTTTTTTTTTTGAGACAGGGTCTTGCTATATGGTTCAGGCTGGACTTGAACTTTGTAGCCCAGGCTGGCCTCAAATTTGAGGTGATCCTCCTACCTCGGCCTCCTTAGTGCTGAGGTTACAGGTATGCACCCTATGCCTGGCTGTCCCTCATTTCCATCCCCTCCTTTTAGACAGCAAATCCAGAAGCTACATTGTCTTAGAGCAGAGTGAGATGGAAAATAAGAAAGAATCCTCAAGGCAGTGGTATCTGCCTGTGGGGAAGGAGAAGGTGCACCTCAGCTGGGCCCCTGGGAAGCTGCTCTGTGTGCTTGGTAGTCAGTGTAATCTCACATGGCTCCAGCATGTGCCTGTGGGTCAGGAGCGACAGTGTTGACAGCTCTCAGGGTGATGGGACCCCAGGGGGCTCTGGCTGTGGTGTGGTCAGTAGCTGTGAGAAACGAGCACCAGAAGCAGAGGCAGCACAGAGAGGTAGCTGCTTTCAGCTTGCCCTCTGTCACCTGTTTGGCCAGCCCACTGCAGCATGTGTCAGTGACCCAGGGCATGCCTGCGGCCCATCCATGGATACGCAGCACATACCAGGCCACAGCCTGGAAGTAGGGTGGAGCAGGCTCACTGTAGCCCTGGGGGAGAGGGAAAGATGGAGTTGGGCTTCTTCAAGAAAATCCTAATTGTATTCAGGCTGTCACCCTGTCTGGGCTAGGACCTCTGGCTGAAGAGAAGGGCAAATGAAGATGCTAAACAAGGGAGAGGGGCTGTGGGAAGGCAGAGGCCATGCTCTGTACTCACCCAAGTTCCTGTGTGCTGGGCTCCTCTGTCAACCTGTGGCAGCAGGGGCAGAAACAACACCGAGGTCACGCTCAGCTCTTCTCACCTGCTGGGTGCGAGCTTTCTGGACCCCCCAGCCCAGGGGCTTCTGGACTCGCCTCTCTCCTTTGTTCTCCCCTGTGTTGACTTTCCCTGAGCAGATACGATTTTCTACAACCAGCAACTGCACCTCACATAAGGCAGTGATGAGACAAACATTTTTCAGGAGAAGGAAGATGATAAATGTGGGAACAAAGCTACCTTAAAGGGGGAGGAGTGTATGTGGTTCTGAAAGCAAACAGGGCTTCCCTCCTGCAGCATTCTGCTCTGGGATGCCTGGCATGCTCCTGCTCACCTGGGGAGAGCAAACTCAGCCCGGGCCTCAGAGCCTGTGCCTGTCCTCCTAGGGCCACTGCTGTCCAGACCATGTGGACAATGTCCCAGGGCTCCCTCAGTGTGCAAATTGGGCAGCTCTGAACCCCAGGAAGGCAGTTCTGGGAGGGACGAAGGAGCATAAAACACAGCTCTGGGGTGGCTGAGGCGATATGGGCGAAGGAAGCTAGTTTGTGTTTCATCCATGTAATCTCAGATACACTTGGGGTGAGGGTGGCAGAGGGATGCACAGTAGGAAGGGTCCCCAGTGGGTTGGAGCATTCTCCAGTGTGGAGCCAGACAGAGCCATGAGGGAAGAGGAAGAGGCACGAGTTAGGGGTGAATACAGATGGGAAGCCCGGGAGCCCATCTAGCTCTCAGGGCTTTTATATCAGCAGACTGTGTGTGGACAGGTGCTGACCAAGTTGTGCTTGTATGTTATGTCAGCACAATTTCATTTTTCTTTTTTTGGTACCGGGGATTGAACTCGGGTCCTTGCACTTGCGCAGTAGGCAGTGAAACCACTGTGCTAAATCCCCGGCCCTATGTCAGCACAATTTCAACCCACAGAAAGCAAACGTTCTCTCCTCCTTTGCTCTTTATGGTTGGGAGTTTCTGTGCTGTGTTGGTCTACAGTCAACTCACGCCTAGGCGGTGGTGGAGAACCAGGAGGCCCACCCATGAAAACATGTGGTCCTGTGGTGCTATCCACGTAAGAGCTACATTGTAGCTTCAGGAGTGTATCTTAGGACAAGTACAGTGTTGAAAATCAGACAATCAGGTATTTAAAACAATCCTTCCCAGTTTCCAATAGGTAAACCTTGGAAAGAGCCCAAATGCCCATCAACTGATGAATGGATAAAGATGTGGCTTTTTTATACAATGGAGTAGTACTCTGCCATAAAGAAGGATGAGCTTCAGACATTTATAGCTAAATGGATGGATCTTTTTTTTTTTTTTTTTTTGGTACCGGGAATCGAACTCAGGTCCTTGTGCTTGCGAGGCAGGCGGTGGAACCACTGAGCTACATCCCTGGCCCTAAATGGATGGATCTTGAGACCATACTCCTAAGTGAAATAAATCAGACACATGTTTAAATACTGCATTGTTTCTCTGGTGTAAGAAACCAAAGTGAAAATAAGGACTGAAATATATAATAGATGTTGGGAAACAGGAAGAAAGTATTCAAATGGGAAAGGATCAAGGGAGGAGGGAGAAAGGAAGGGATAAGAAAAAAAAGTGAAACTAGAAGAAAAAAATGGAAACAAAGCTTTTATACATAGGGAGGGAAGGGGGCTGAGGAGGGCAATGGGATAAAATAAAATGTATTTAAAAAACCCCAAAACAATTCTGGCCATCTCTCAGGGATGACACCTAAAAGCCACAGAAATAGAAGTTCAGACACTCTCACAAAAGGTCTCACATGTACAGGAACTCTGCTATGTATGCTGAAAGAGAGGTGCCTAAGAGCAAGCAGCACAGAGACAGAAGAGACATCATCAGGGAACCTGAGGTCAAGGACTTTTAGAAAGCTGCTCGGCCAGGAGGTTTCTGGTGAGGGAAGCCACCCTCGTTCTTAGGAGACGAGGCCTACATTCTAACCTGAGCCAGGACTCACAGCTGGCATCTATGGCCAGGGCAAGGCCTCACCCAAGGCTTCTTTTGGGAGACATGCAGGAAAGCTGAGGAGAGAGCGGCCTGAGAAGAACTCCTGGAGCAGGGAGGCCAAGGCAGTAGCTGTTACAGCTTCAGCCAAGAACACTCATGGGTTTTGGTGCATGAGTTTTTCCCTGGGATGATGACATGTCGGAGTGTGTTTGGGGCCTGTGTTTACAGGGGAATTTAGCCCTCCATCTCCCTGCTTCCCCTCTTGTCCTGCCACAGGAGGAGGGAAGTCTTCTCTGCATTCTGGGCACCTGACCTGCTGCTCTGCCTCTGTCCGTCTGTCATGTGACCAAATGTGCTATTCGCATGGCCTCATCCAGCCACTGTGCCCTTTCTCTGAGGCCTTGCTCTGGCTCATGAGACGGTTTCAGCACCTGCAGGATGTTTCTCTTCTTCCCTCAGTTGCCTCCTTGGCAATTTCAGTACCCTTACAGACAAATTCTTTGTCCCTGAGCTCCAAAGACCTTCTCCTTTCATCCACACTAGCCCCTGTGGGCACACCACCCTCCAGAACCACCACGCCAGGGATACCCATCCACCACAGCTTGCCTGTTTCTCCCACTTGACTGCTTTCCACCTTGGCTGAGATGCTTTCCTTCACTTGTCTACTCATTCTGCTCCAACCAAAGCATGAGGGTTGCAGCTGGAGAGTCCCCGATGAACCCAGGATCTGCCACTTAGGACCTATGCCAAGATCTCACCCCAAGCCCTGCCTAGACGCCCCCCTCATAGGACTGTGATGTCAACAAGAAGGCTGAGCTACAGGGTCACTGCTCGGTACACATGGTGTGGCCACTCATCTCTCCCCCTTCGCTTCCCTCACTTCCGAAGCTGCTTGGCTGCTCCATCCGTGCCTCTTCCCTACCCCATCTCCCTGCTGATTTCCTTAGATGGTTCATTTACTGACATCCTACTATGTGCCGGACACTGTTTTAGGCACAGGGAAAAAACAATGAAACAGACTAAAATCTGCCTCAAGGAGCTTATGTTCTGGAGGAATATAGCAACAGGTGTGTGTGTGGGTATATATATATATATATATATATATATATATATATATATATATTTTTGGTACCAGGGATTGAACTCGGGTCCCTGTGCTTGCGAGGCAGGTGGCGGAACCACTGAGCCAAATTCCCGGCCCAACAGGTATATTAGTATGAGAGAAATAATAGCTAATTTTCACCTGTCCCAAGAGAATTTTGTTATCTGTTTAGCCTAACATTGAAGGATGAAGATTAACAGCATGAAGTCTGGAATCAGAAAGACCCACTTTAAGCCCAATTGGTGCTGTTAAATAGCCACGTGTGGAATCTCCTCAGTGCTGAAAAGGCCATGTGTACCTTACAGTGGGGTAAGGGTAAAATGAGATTATACAAGGATCCATTTACCACAGCTCTCCCACCTAACAAGTAGTAGAAAAGCATTAGTATCCTTTGGTGACAGCTTTCATTCTTGTTTCTGTTCTTCCAGGAAGTCACAAAACCATTTGGTCCTTCCAACCTACACTAAACTCTCCTTTTTAAAAACTCTTATTGCAATCCAGTTTTATTATTAACGCTTTCTGTTGCTTCATTTTATCTCCCATTTTGTGTATCTAGTCTTGCTGTCCTAATTAGATCACGAGCTCCTTGAGGCAAGAGATCACGTTTTGTGTTCTGTTTGTGTCTACTTTGTGTATCCAACCATCTACCCCACTATCGGAAACAGGGAAGCTTCTGTCGATCAACCCACATCAGTACTTTAGGGAAACCTAAACTGCTGGCTGGGAAAGCAGGTGGGAAGATGCTGAAGGCTTTGGAGAAGGCGGGCCACAGGAGGAAGGAGGGCAGAAACAAAGGGAAGCACTATGCCCCGCCTCTAGAGCTCAGGCTCCCCACCAACACTAGGGTCCTGCTGGCTGCCTTGACCTCTGTCTTTCCCATTCTGCATCTTCTCCTCTTCTTCCTCGGCTCCAAAAACAAGTTCAAGGAGGCTAGTGACCCTCCGGCACAACACAGGCCTGGAAGGAGGGTGTGTGTGGGAACTCAGGAGGCTTGGGATGGAACCCTGGCCAAAGGCTCAAGACGGCAGCCTCCACAGGCCCCACACTGGCTCCCTTTACACCTTGTGAGCCCCATACCCCAGCAGTGTTTAAGGGGAGCCTGTAAGAATCAGAGCAACCTGATGTCACCCACCCTGCTGTTCGTCATGCTGCTAACTTCACTGGTGACCACAGCAGGAGCAAGGGAGAGCCTGGGATGATGACACCTAACAGGGACCGATACACCTAATATCTTGCATTCAGGTTCAAGAAAGATGCAGTGGAGGAGCACCTAAACACTGACTTCTGGGGGAAAAAAGAAGAAAAGAGAAAAGGAAGTTTTAATTGACAAACTTAAAATGACTGCACAGTGTAAAGTGGTTCTGTGGACCAAAGCTAGTGCTGGCTAAGGCTGCTTTCCAGGGCAACCTGGAAAGGGCAGTCACGGATCCCCTGTGCTCTGCAGGACAAGACCCTCTGCAGTGGTGTGCTCAGACCAGGGCGCTCACTTTAATTAGGGCTTTGAGCTGGGGATGTAGCCACACCTGCTGGACAAGAAAATGAGGGCCCTAAAAATCTGGGGCATATCTGATGTGGTCAAACAGGATGATAAAATGAAAACCATGTCATTCAGGATGACTAAAGGGACTGAGTAGTGTCATCTAAAGAGAAGATGTGGGAAGTACCATGTTATTATCATCAAACACTTGAAACCTGCAAGGAGGGACTGATCTGCTTCTGGAGTTGCAGAGGGGCAGAAAAGGTAAATCAGCTACAGAAAGGCAGATTTGGGCTCCCAAATAGAGAAGAACTTTCCAGTTATCAGAGCTGGTCATGAATGAGCTCACTGGAAATATTAAAACAGACCCCCCCACTGGATACTGGACTCATGGCCTTATGTATGCCAGGCAAGTGCTGTACCAATGAGCTAGTTTTTGAGACAGGGCCTTGCTAAAAGTTGTTCAGGCTGGCCTTAAACTTTTGATTCTCTTGTCTTAGTCTCCTGAGTAGCTGTGATTACAGGCATGTGCCACTATGGCCAGCTTTTCAGAAAACTTTTACAATGGGTGGCAAGTTGGATTAAATGATCTCTTAAACCCTTTGAACTCCATGATTCCTTCCTTTCTTTTTCTTTCTGAAAATAATTTTTTTTTTTTTTTTGGTACTGGGGATTGAACTTGGCACCTTGCGCTTGCCAGGTATGTGGCGAAACCACTGAGCTAGATCCCCAGGCCCCTTTTTCTTTCTGAAACAGGGTCTCATTATGTAGTTCAAGATGGTCTTGAACTTTATGTAATGCAGGCTGGACTCAAACTTGTGATCCTTGTGTCTCAGCCTCCTGAGTGCTTGGATTATAGGGATGCACCACCACACCCAGTCATTATTTGTTAAAGTATTTTTTAAAAGATGAGAGGGACAGGTCATGGAAATATGTTGGATGTACACACTACAGAGTAAAAGAAAAGGCAATCTGAATATGTTTTCATCCTAATGAAACCTTATGAAGCCATCATCAAGGAGATGGTAAGAATGTGTTGGTGCTGGGCAATGCTCTTCCACTGGCTGAGGAGCTGGCACCTGTAAACACTTTATTTCTGCATTTTGGAGGGATGATGGAGTGTGTGTCTACATTTAGTCTACATCTACCTACAGGCTTTGGTGCTCAGGAGCAAAATGTGTCAAAGAAACAGGCCTCACAGAACCCTGGGTTTGACTTCTTGTCATGGGTAGGGCAAGAGCACTGGCTCATGTTTTGAGGACCTAAGTTCTAGGGCCATCTGTGTCCCCCAAAGCAGCATGACCCCAGGCAAATCACTTTTCTGATAATCAATCATCACATTTCTATCATAAGAGGACTGGACAGCATGATGAGATGGTACCTTCTAAAGGACACTACATAATTTTGTTAAAACTACCCTTTCTACTATGAGAGATTGCTCAGTAGCCCTATAAATGGTTAACTTTTTGAAGCTATTTAGTTTCCACATGCTTTCTGTTTACTGATTCGCAGTTACTAGCAGTTACATCACACTTTCATCCTAGTTCAAGCCCAGAAGCCACTGATTTACATAAATGGTAACCAGTGCCCTTGAGGCACAAGTGTAGTTCATCCCCAGCCTAAGACCCCCTGGGAAACTCCCTCTCAGAGTGGGATTTCCAGCCTCTGAGGGGGAAGCTTCTAATCAGCTGTGAAGTCATATCTGAAGGCCATTGCCAGTGCCTGTGTGTGTAAGGAGGGGCTATGCTTCTGTGGGGCTAAGAGACAGGAACAGATGGGGAGGGGCTACCATAAGCTCCTGAAGCAAGACAATCGGGGTTTGACCTGGTTTGGAAAACCAGGCAGACTACACACGTTTTCTTCTGAAGGAGAACAGGACCCACAGCAGGTGTGTGCCAGACCTTGTTTTGGCCCCGTGAAAACCCTAATGGCAGATGTGTTTCCCTAGTGAGAAACACCCAGGCTCATCTTCCCTGAAAGTATCTGAATAGTTCATGGACAAACTGCTGTGTAGTTCTACTTAATAACCCGCTGAAGCTACCGCAAGGTACTCACAAGCACTATGCTAGGTAAAAAGGGTCAGAGGAGGCCCCTCAGTATGAGGGGCCACCGAGCTTGGGAAGGAAGCTCACTTGCATGATGCGTCACATGGGAATCCACCATTGGAAACTACTCAGAAGTATCAGGTAGCTGTACCACTGATGGAGTTGTGGGGACACTTGGAGGTCTGATGCTATGTGAAAGCCTTTTATTTTCTTTCTCTTTCCTGGATTTTATGTGAGGGGAAAATGCTACAAGGAGAGGTCTCTGCCAAGTCACTGCAGTGGGTGAGAGATAGAGATGGAGAAAGAAGTCAGATTAAGACTGGATGTGAGGAGTGAAGGAAGCAGCAGGTCACAAAGTTCAGGTGAAATCAGACCCTGGTTGTGGACAAAAGGAGAAAGTAGGGTTTCAAAACCAAATCAACAGGAGAGAGCAGAAAGACAGCTGGGGAAAGCCCAGCACTGGAGGCTGATGTCCAGGAAAGCTTCAGAATGGGCTGGCGGTCAGGCCTGGGGAAAGAGCCGCTGTGGACGAAGTGGAGGCAGGAGGTGAGGGGGTGAGGTCGGGACCTGGCTGCACTGAAGATCTGGATTTCTTTAAATTCAGAACTGTGTTTGCTCTACCAGATGCATCTGCCAGATAAACCTAAATGTGTAACTGCCCCTCTGTGATCATGTATGGGAGGAAGGCACACTTAGCAGAGGGCCCACTAAGGGCCTCCTGTTCCTAGGAGGCAAAACTGAGTGGTAAAATGAGGGGGCTGTGCCACCAGGGTGCTGAGGAGGGTGGGGACAAGGCGGGCGCAGGAGGTTGGTGGGGAGCTCTGGGCATCACCTGAATGGAGCTCCTTCACCAGAGATGACATGGTGTTGGTGATGGAGTCAGCGGCCACCAGCAGGTCATTGTGGAGGTTTCTCCTCGTACCTGAGGGGAGTCAGAGCAGATGGAGATGCAGGTTGGGGCATGAGAAGAGAGAGCCCAGAAGATGCCTCTGTATGCCAAGCCCTTGGGCACAGATGCAGGACAGCTAAGGGAGATGAGGACACAGCAGCTCCACCTGTTCCCCCACACCAGGAGACTGTTCCCACTCCCTCTGTCTTCTCCATTTGGACAGCGGAGCCTGTCAAGTCCATGCTTTGCAATATAAAAAAAGTTGGGGGGCCAGGGATTTAGCTCAGTGGTGCCACTGCCTGCCTCGAAAGTGAAAGGTCCCGAGTTCAATCCCCTGTGCCAAAAAAAAAAAAAAAAGTTGGGTTCCAGAACAAGCCTTCCACTGAGGCATTCTCATCTTTAGGGGGCTTTATCCTCCAACACCACTTACCTTCTTGTCCCCAGATCCCTCAAGGTCTCCTCCCCAACTAAATGTGGCTCCCTAGCTCTTCAGATGGCTGTGGTAATTCCATGCTTGGTGGACCTTTAGCTTGGTCCTATTTACAGAACCACTCTTCCTGCTTTTGCTTGTTCTAAGGACCTACTAGGCCCAGTATGTGACTTTAGATTACTCCACTCACTTCCTCTGGAGGTGGCACAGCCCAAGTTGGGGAACAGGGCAAGGCAGCACTTCCCAGAAGAAAGAGCACAGAACCCCAGGAGGCTTGGTCTTTGATGCATATGAAGCCTGCAGACCTCTGCTCGAGACCAGCCCATCTACTGAGAAGGGGCCAGCACTTGACTTATTTATACCATAAATGTGACATCTTAAGCCAAGAGCACATAGGAAAGAAGTGGAAAAAACCTCAATGGGAATCTTGTACATACTTTCCAATCCCCTGGGCTCCCTGTTAGACTTGGGCCCAGACACTCACCTTGTGCAAAGGCCTCCTGCACGTCACCCCCGACTCCACTCAGTGAGTCCTGTGGGGAGTGGGTGGGGGTGGAGCCGGCAGATGTGGAGTGGACGGGCACAGGCATGGGGCGGCCACCTCCATGAGTGGGTGATGTATGTGGTGACGCTGTGGCCTGAGCCTGAGAGGATCAGAGAGAAGATATGTCATTGCAGGTGTCTTATCTTGTCAAGGAAGGGGGACGCCCTTCGAAGTCAGTCTGAGTTAGCCAACAGTTTGCTGATGCATGATCATGTTTGAAAGGAAGGAGCCAGAGTGCATGCAGGACTGGGAGGGAGGAAGAAAAAGAAAAAGGAAGGGGGCTGGGAGGGAAGGAGTACATTTTAAGACTGGGAATAAGGCAAAGAGAAGGCTAGCAGAGAGAGGAGGCCTTCAGGTGGGCGGACTGGGCACAGCAGCAGGGCTGGGGGTCCAGGCTCTAGTACAAATAACACACGCATATCTCCATGTTTGTTTTCATACACTCATATACATATTGTCACCAGACCCCCCAACAGCCCGTGGGTAGAAAGGGCTCATCTCTTCATAGCACTTTTATAGAAGCATGAAGAGTCACAGTGTGTATGAGGCCACGCACCAGAGTGTGTGTGAGGCTGTGTGGCTCTCCAGAGGCAGATGCTGGAATAGTCCTTGGACTCCAAGGCCAGCGGCCTGTCCTCTGCACATGACAGCTTCTGTCCCCGTGGACGTGCTCCTGAGTTATGTGCAGGGCCCTGGGGACAGGCTGCTTCTCAGGGGCCTGACCTAGGGGCCAGCAATGTGGATCATACTGCACCTGCCACACATGTATGGGGAGGCCTCTTGTGGGCATCCTGTGGGACCAGTGAGAGTGGACATGTATTAAGTAGAAGTTGACCTTTCCTTGTGAACGCCTGATATACTTTTAGAGAGGAAGCAAGAGGGATAAAACAAGTGAAAGAAGAAAACCAGTCAAAGGTAGCTACTGAGCCTGGGCTCTGCTGTTCCTGGGAGCCAGGGAACTGGGTGTGGCACAGACTGGGGTTTGGTGTGGAAGCAAAATGGGGAAAACATAATCCTCGTGTGAGAATGAGTTCAAATAAAGAGAATTCTCCTTCTGTACAAACAGAATGTGCCCTGAGCAAGTAGGCAGGCTGTATGTCTTGTACTTCACCTCAGCACTGCAACCCTGTGGGGACTGAGCTAAAGAAGTGGTGGTCTCTATGGTTCTTGCTTTGAATCATTTGTGTATGTATTTTGAGAAATACAAAAAACTCAGAGAGTTAAAAGGTATAACATAATAAACCACTACGAGTGAAAATTGTTAATATTGTGCCAAATTTATTTCAACCTAAAAATAGTGCAAATAAATCGGAAGACTCTTTTTACCACCAGTCCTAGTTCCTTTCTCTCTCTCTTTTTTTTCCTTTCTCTTTTGTCAGAGGAAACCTTACCAGAGATTCTGATGTGAAAGTTTTTACCTACACATACATCTATGACTAAAAATGATACATAATATTGCCATGTCTTTACATTTTGCTGGATGGTATTTTACTGCAAATAACATTTTCCAATTTGCTTTTATCTCTGCACCCTCTGTGAGCTCTATCCTTGATACAAATACATATAACCTTAGAACTTTACCACATACCATGCACAAAAAGAACTCAAGTTGTAGCAGAGTGACTTCAACAGCTAAAACTACCTTAATTTCTCAAAACAAGAAAAAAAAGAAAAATCTTGTGACCTGGGTTAAAGATTTCTTAGATATGACACTGAAACCATGATATGTAAAAGAAAAAAAATAGATGTATTGGTTTTTATCAAAATTCAACACTTTTGTCAAAATAGCTAGAAGAGAGGATTTTGACTGTTCTTATTACAAAGAAAAGATGTATAATAATGGATATCATGAGTTGATCAAATAATTTATAAATCCATCAAAACATCAAATGTACTCTCAAAAAATGCACAATTATCCTTTAATTAAAAACCTTTTGCTCTTCTAAAAACATTATCAAATCCTGTACTATATGAACAAATCAACTCAAAATGGACCAACTCAAAATGGACCAGACCTAAATTTAAGAGCTGAAACTATAAAATCTTAGAGGATAACATAGGGGAAGACCTTTATGACACTGGATTAAGCAAAGACTTTCTAGATATGATACCAAAAAGTAGAAGTTAGAAAACAAGAACTTGATAAACCAAACATCATCAGAATTAAATAAATTTAAAAAAAAGATACCATCAAAAAATTGAAAAGATGACATACATAAAGGGAGAAAATGTTTGCAAATTATATATCTGACATGGGACCTATACCTAGCACATATATAAATGCCCAACAAGCATGTGAAAAGATACTCAACATTATTAGACATTAGGGAAAAGCAAATTAAAACCACTATGAGATACCACTTTATACTCTTAGGATAGCTATAAATAAGAACATAGTAGGCCGGAGATTTAGCTCAATGGTGCTGCTGCCTCCCTTGAAAGCGCAAGGTCCTGAGTTTGAGCGCCAGTACCAAAAAAAAAAAAGAAAAACAGATAGTAAGAAGTATTGGCAAGTATGTGGAGATATTCAAATCGCCATACAATGCCAGGAGAACTAGTGTAGCTACTTTGGAAAACAGTCTGGAAGTTCCTCAAAAGGTAAAATATCGAGTACCATATGACACAGCAATTTGACTCCTAGGTGTATCACCAGAGAAATGAAAATATATGCTCACACAAAATCTATATCCAAATGCTCACAGCAGCATTACTCAACATAGCCAAAAATTGGAAACTCATTATGTCTATACTGATGAATGACTTGAATAAAATATGATATATTCATACAATGGAATATTATTTAGCAATAAATAAGAAGGAATGAAATTTTTTTTTTTTTTTTTTTTTTTTGTACCAGGGATTGAACTTGGGACCTTGTGCTTGTAAGGCAGGCGGCTGAACCACTGAGCTAAATTCCTGGCCCTAGAAGGAATGAAATATTGATACATGCTACAACACGATGAAACTGGAAAACATTTTGATAACTGAAAAAAAAATCATAAAAGACCACATATTATGTGATTTCATTCATATGAAATATTTATAAGAGGTAAATCACAGAGACTGAAAGCAGATTAGTGGTTATCTGGGCTGGACAGGTGAGGAGTGAGTGCTGATGGGTACAAGGTTTCTTTTTGAGGCTAATATATTTTATAATTGATGATGGTGATGGCTACACTGCTCAGTAAATACATCAAACAAACGCTGAATTTTACGCTTTAAAACTGTGAATTGTATGGTATGTGAACTATATTTCAATAAAATTATTATAAAAACATATCATTAAGAAAAATAAAAATCCACAGCCAGTGGGAAATATTTACAAACTGTATCTGATAAAGAACTTATGTTCAGAACATATAAAGAACTCTTACAACTCAGTATTAAGATGACAAACAACCCAATTACAAAATGGGCCAAGATTTGAACAGACATTTCACCAAATGAGATGTACAAATAGGCTAATAATCACATGAAAAATGTCAACATGAAGTTGTCATGAGGGAAATGGAAATTGAAAACACAATGTAATGTCACATAGTATTACACTGAAATAGCTATACTCAAAAAGACTGAGGAAGATGTGGGGAAACTGAAAGCCCTGTACACTGATGATGAGACTACAAAAGGTGTGACCATTTAAAAAACATTTCAGCACTTTCTTTTTTTCCACAGCGGTTTCTTAAAGTGTTAAATGTAAACTCAATCATATAACCCAGAAAATTCCCCTTTTGATTTCCCCCAAGGGAAATAAAAACACATGTCCAGTCAAAATACACACAAATATTCACGGGCAACAGTTTAATAGTCAACAAGTGGAAACAACCCCCAAATTCATTAACCCATGAGTGGATTAACAAAATGTGGCACTAAACTATGGGATATCATAGGCTATCTTTTTACTGCTGTTATGATTTACATCTAGATGTCCTCCCAAAGCCTTATGAGCTCATAGGAGGGGTTTTGGGAGGAGGTGGGTCACTGGGAATGTGGCCTGGAAGGGTTTATTTCCCTCCTTCCTCCCTCCATCGCTCTGCTTCCTGCCGCCAAGCCATGAGCGACCTCCTCTGCCATGGCACCCTGCCTTGGAGCCAGCTGACTACGGACTGAAACCTCTGCAAACTGTGATCCAAAATAAACTTTTCCTCCTTTAAGTTGTGGGTGTCCCAGAGACAAGAAAGTAACTAAGACAGCTACAGAGTATTTTACTATTGTTTAACTTTTATAATAATTTTCCACTGATGATTAAATATGTTCTACTTTGTGGAATACTATCTCCTACTTTTGTCAGTGGTTATAAAACATTTTATTAGTATTTACTTTTGCAGGGTATGTATCTTTTCTTCCCAGTTACTTTATAAACGAATCATGAATCCTGTTTTAGCCAGTTAATATTATTACATATTAATCATTGTACTTTTGAGATTCTACCTACCTTTTATCCTACTTTTAGGCCATTTTTATATTTGAGGGGGCAAATCATAATGGATAAAATTCATGATTTGAAGATGTAAAGATGCTGCTTTCAGGGTGTAAGACAGAGCTGTAAAGTACAGGTGAGTGGCCAGACCCACTGTTTTCAGCCCCAATCCAAACTACATCAGGAAACTGGGGAAAGAAAGGAGGGAATCTGCAGAGTCCAACACAGGAAAAGTCCTATGAGCCAGCAGCAGTTTGGGATGTTAGGGATCATACAAGTATGGAGATGAGCAGAGCCCAAGGCCTTTCCTGGGCTCTGAGGGGGCCTGGGAATTCAGATGCCTCAGCCACAGAGCTGGGGGTACTGCTGTGACAATCAGACCTGTCCATGCCTAATGACATGATGGGATGACCGCCCCCCCAATGGTCCAGGTCTCAGTATTGTCCAGGTGGAGATGGGGACATTCCTTCACGCAAGGTCAGTCCCTGAGACCCAGCATCAACCTCAGGTGCAAGAAGAGGGATGAGGCAACTGATGAGCAGATAAAGAAGACTGTGGAAGGCCAGATGGGAATTAAGGCCTAACTGGCCTCCTTGGTGAGCACAGAGAAGAAAGAGGACATGCAAGCACGCTAACATGGTACAGGGAAAAGTAGAAACACCCCAGGTTAAGCTGTTTAC